TTGGGCATAAGCACAGAAGATCATGATGAAACAACATGAAACATTCTCCACTCACATCCCTATCTCCCTGCCCACCGCCAGCAGGGTCAGTTTGTGATTCTTTGCACCTCTGTTTGGAATGGGTAACCAATACCAACCTACCGGGAGAGGCCTGGCCTGTATTTTCAGCCCCTTGCTTTAAGAGGAAAATCAGGATTTCCCACATCAGCATTTCCCAAACATCTGAAAGCCAAGTCCTGCTTCAAGAAAACCAAAACCCTAATTTGTTGTCAGATGTTGTGCTTAAAAAACGGCACGGGATCTTTTTCAGGGGGATAAGGCAAAACGCCACTCTTACTGGTAATCTATATCTATATATCTCAACACTGTATCATATTATACTCATGCACTCACATGCACACACAAACACACTCCAAATTGTTGTTGTTACCAACTAGTTACTCCCCTTGACTTCATTGGCCTGGTGAGTTGGGTGGGAGAGGAGAGGAGCCGAGCTTCTGCCAATGCAGATGGATGCTCCCGTGTTGACAAGATAAGACCCGGGGTCTCCTGCAAGACACCCCACATTTATAGTAGCTTCCCTCTCATGCAAATCTATTAGTCAACTCATGCAAATCTATGCACTCTAGCTTTTCAGTTAGTCATTTGTGGCGCCATCTTCTGGGTGTTGTCCTCAATGCTTCCACATTCATCTTCAAAGAGGGGTTCTGAATTTGCTTCCAGAGAAGTGCTTGCTTCTGACACCCAAGACCCTCAATATGTCGAATCTTTTCTCCGTGAGCTCACTTGACAGGTCTTAGTGTTCCTGGGATCTGTCTCCTATGCCCTTCTCCAACTGTTGCAGCTGTTTGGAGGTGCTTGCCTTCCATACCTTATTCATTCACACCTCATTCATTCAACAGGGCAATCAAGTCAAAGGGGAGAGATCTATTCTACTCCTAGTAAAAAGACATTTTCTTCACCTTAATTATTCTTAGGGACTACAACATTATACTAAGACTTAATACAAGGTTAAATGAAATGATACAAAGTTATATGAAAATGCTTAATACAGAGACTTAGCTACACAGACACCTACCAGTCTTCATGGTATTGTAGAATCTATACTTCCTAATCAAAATGATTGAGTCACATGATGGTAAAGTTCCACAGATAAATGTTTGAGAAGTGTGTTAATACAGGAGTAGAAGGTGTTACAGGTGTCTTCTGCTGATGTGCTTGAGATGATCATGGGTGGTTCTAAACATATCCCGTGCTTTGGAAAACATTGGTCTTGGTGGAACAGGCATGTGGTCTGTTACAACGTGGAAGCCAGCTTCTACCTATATTGGACACTGACAAGGGAGGCAGAAAAATCCCCATCATGCATCTGGACAGTTGTGCAATAACAATGCTTCGGGTTTCTCTCAAAACAGGTCCTGGGGATGGCTATGTGAAATGCAGATTGTCTTGTAGCTAGCATGGCGGAGATTAGGAACATCTTTTTGCCAAGCAACGTTTATGAAAACATGCCTAGAAGTAGTGGATTCTCGGTGGTCCAGAGTGGAGCAAATTAAAAAAATCAATTATCGGTTTGAGCTTGCTTGTATGTTAATCATTTCCTATCAAATGTCATGTTGATTCTATGCTGGATTCATTTTTGATCAGATTAGCAAACATTTGTGTGCTTTGCTCTTTTAAACATAAAACAACAGAGAAGCTGGACTTCTTTGGTACTTGTTTTTAAATATTGCTGATTTTGGAGAGTTGGTGAGAATTAAAGGAATTGTGGAGCTGGTTTGATTCTCCATCCACTGGCCAGCTAGGAAGCTGGAGCTATGAAAGGATAGGAGGAGGAAGGGAGATTTATACTGTCTAGGCCCTTATATCATTAAAGCAATAACTCTAACAGCCTAGTTTTCATTTGTGCCAGCAGAGGCTGTAACAGATCAATCAAAGAGATCTTGGAGAGAGGGTCATCTGACTGGTCCTCTTTTGCTTTCAGCCTGTGAGCAGAGGTGTCTCTAGGGGCCTGCAGTCCTTCAAGCTGTAGCAATACTAAAGGTAATTTTGAGATCAGAAGCCCTGTGGATGTTTGCATGGTGGGAAATTATCCTCTATTTCTAACCTAGAGGTGATACGAATATCAAAACAGGCATGCATGCTTGAAAGGAAGGAGAGAGAGAGAGAGAGAGAGAGAGAGAGAGAGAGGAAAAACAAACTGTTCTCAGTGGTGGCAGATGACAGAATAAGGAGCAATGGTCTCAAGTTGCAGTGGGGGAGGTCTAGGTTAGATATCAGGATAAACTATTTCCCTAGGAGGGGGGTGAAGCACTGGGATGGGTTCCCTAAGGAGGGGGTGGAATCTCCGTAGAAGTTTTTAAGTCCTGGCTGGGATGATTGAGTTGGGGTTGGTCCTGCTTTGGGCAGGAGGCTGGAATCAATGGGTACGTCTAGACTACATGCCTCTGGCGACAGAGGCATGTAGATTAGGCTACTGGACATAGTAAAATGAAGCGGCGATTTAAATAATCGCCACTTCATTTAAATTTACATGGCTGCCGCGCTGAGCCGACAAACAGCTGGTCAGCTCCCCAGGAGGCATACCTGGGTGGTCGACAAATACCTTTGATATCGGCAGGGGAGCGTCCAGACTATCGCGCTGAGCCGACAAACAGCTGACCA